CGGCTTGAGACAGAATATTTAATCCATAAGCCGTACTTAGAAATATATTTCCAGGCGCATCGATCTTGTGTGCAATTTTTCCTGTTTTAAAGACCAAGCTTTGAATTCGTGGCCTTCCGTTTCTGCCTGAACCATCAGTAGTTGGCTCGTTTTTAAGCTGGGGCATCCCCATCCCCATTCTCACAACATGACCTAGCCACCGTAGTCACAGCATTTCGATACGTCTGACTATGTCGATGACCGAGAATAGATGGTACAGCTTATGGTTCATTCGACGGCGATATTTTGCATTGAATTTGTGGCCTTCCACTTCTGCGTGAACCATCAGTTGACTTGCTTTTATATGCCTTTTGAGCTGGGACATCCTTATCCATTCGCACGACATGACCCAGTCACCGTAGTCGCTGCAGTTCAATACGTCTGACTATGCCGATGTCCGAGAATATATGGTACTTCTACCATAGTTCATTCGACGGTAATATTCGCCAACGACGCAGGTCGGTCCATAAATATTTCGGAGAATTTTTCTCTCAAACACTCCAAGTATCCATGCTTCAGATCCATACACAGTACGGGTAGTATCATCGTCTTTTAGGGTTTGTGTGTGAGTTTGATCTGGCCTTTTTTCTGAATTGCTTACTTAGACCATAGTAGCATATGTTGGCTAACACTATCCTTCTCCGAACTCAAAAGAAATATCATTTGTTTTATTTATGGCGGTACCGAGGTAAATGAAATCACTGGATACCTCAAGCTGTAGCTTTCCACAGTTCCACAGTTGGTCCGAGTCTATTGGGCGTCTTGCGTATTGATTCTCGCCATTTACTTCCAGACTCCTTAACAATTTCTTCTCGGAATGTTCGTCTAAATACGTGTTATTTAGTTTACAGAGTGTCATTTCTGTTCACCTTTGCATCTCGTATGACCTTATCTAGCAGGGCGTAAAAAAAGTCACACGACAAACTATAACCTTGCCTGTATCCTCATTCGGCATTGAAAGGGCTCCGATAGGTTCTTTCCGACTTTAACTGCTGATCGTGTGTCACTTAAAGTTATCCTGTATAGCAGTATTAATTTTGAAGGAATGCCGAACGCAGACATGGCTTTAAACACCTCTGAGGTGGTTGGCTTGTGACAGAACATAGTAGAATCTGTTGGTCAACATTATCCTTTCCTTATCCATTTCCTAATTTCAAAACTGATGTCATAAGTTTTTTTTATGACGGCACAGAGGTATATAAAATCGTTCACTACCTCAAAACTGTAGTTTTCAAGTTCCACAGTTGGTCCGAGTTTACTGGGCGACTTTATCAGTTTCCTTTTCAATTTGTTCAAAAACGACTATTACCACTTGTCCGACCAAATATTTCGATGTCGTCGACGTAGGCGAGTAACTTGTGTTGTCTACTGTACAGAGTGTCATATCTTCACCTTTGCCTCTCGTATGACCTTTTCCAGCAGGATGTTAAAATATATCACACAATAAACTGTCACTTTGTCTGAATCCTCGTTCAATATTGAAGGACACCGAGAGGTTCTTTCTGACTTTAACAGCTGACCTTGTGTCAGTCAAAGTTCCATATTAATTCTGCAGTAATGCCGAAAGCAGAAATGACTTTAAACTTCTCTGAGCGGATTTGACCGTCGAATGCGGCTTTATAGTCGACGAATAGGTCGAATGTGTCGATGTGTTTTTCGTAGATCTTTTCCAGGATCTGACGCAGAGTGAAAATATGGTCAATGGTGGACTTGCCAGGTCTGAAGCCGTATTGGTATGGTCCAATAATGTCATTGACCATTGACTTTAATCGTTCACACATCACGCTAGATAGCACTTTATATACGATGGGAAGGAGACTTATTCCTCTATAGTTGGCACAAACCTGGTCTTGTCTCCATATTGTGCACAGGTCATGCTGAAGTTCCAATCAGTGGGCATGCATTCCTCTAGCCAAATTGTTCTAATCAGTTGGTACATGCTTCACCACCGGTCTTGAATAGTTCGGCTGGCAATCCATCGGTACCTGCTGCTTTATTATTCTTCAATCGATTCAACCGAGTGTGGGCAACTAACCCGACGCCTCAACGCAAATCAGCTCATTATTTCAATGGGTGTTGAAAGTAGCTACTCCAGGTGACTCCGCCGGAAGGTCAGTTGCCATAATTGAGATGAAAGAGGGGCCAAGATAAACATGCGCTTTGTCATGATAAATCCACTCAGAGCCATTCCTTGGTATCTATCATCCCCTATGCTTGTTCTTCTGGATTCGTATTATACTCGTAAAGGGCTTTCATTAAAATTTACGCATCCGATAAGGCGTATGCCATTTAATCTAAACGTAATTGTAATATCTAAATATAAACTTGAATCCAAAAATGAAGCCACCCAGCCCACTCATTGTGACCGCAGTTCAGTTTATTTTAACACTTGCACTTTTCCCATACCCATCTTGTTATCTTTCATGCCATTCTTAGCAATTCTGTAGCTGTTGGACAATTAAGATGTCACATTGATGTTTCTATTTGTAGCCAATTATAAAGGAGTAAACGTGTGGACGTGTGTGTCGTTCGATTCCATATCCCAGTAAACAGTTAAGCAAGAATGTCTGTTAGGGTTCTAAAATAGAAACCATTCATTTAGTCCAATTTTCAACGACTTGTTTCGAGTGATGGTAATCAAAGAATTTTTATTCAATCGGAAACAGCGATGCAAAGTAGTTATGTCTACATCGATCACCTGCGGATGAATGGTTAGCAGGAGAATAAAAGACCTCGTCTCCAGATTCGGACCAGTAGATGAGCGAATTGCTATTATCCATATAAAAGAGATGTTCTTCTACATCAGTCTTATTTGTGACCATGCTCCGACGGAAGACAAAGATGAACATACCCATGCCATTGAAATTCTGCTAGGAGATTTTTATGCAAAAATCGGAAGGGAAATATTTATGGTCCCACCATCGGAAAATTCAGCCTCCGTGAAGAAACATCCGACAATGGCATGATGTTGATTGACTTCGCGGCAGCTAAAAACATGGTAGTTAGCAGCACCAGGTCCAAACATCTCGATATACACAAGGCTACCTGGATTTGCCCCGGTCAAACAACGAGAAATCAAATTGATCATGATGGATTCACGGTGTTTTAGACCAGCCAAGATTCGCACCCGTCTTAATGTAGAAGCAAAGGTGTGATCTCGAAAAGCTGCAATCACAACAGATAGCAGAAGCCTACGCCGCTCAGCTTACCCACTGGCTAGGCGAAAAAGACTTGTTGCCCCGATAATAATATAGAATCACAATGGCAAAGAATTGTCCACACCTCACAAACTGCAGCAAAAGCAACACTTGGGTACCAAAGACCATCATCAAGAAACCCATGGTACGATCAGAAGTGTCGTAATGCTTCTGAAGTGGAAAACGCAGCATATATGGCGATCCTGCAAACAGTAGCAACACGTAATACGATGGAATAATAAATCAGCAGGTGCCGATTCAAGACCTTGTTCAGATGCTGATCGCATGCAGCAACTTATTAGTACAATTTGGCTAGAGAAATCCATGCCCAATGATTAGAACCTCAGCATCCTGTCCCGTCTCGTACATAAACAAGGAGGTAATGCGATATGTTCCAACTATTGAGATTAGTCTCCTACCCATTGCATATAAAGTGCTATCCAGCGTACTGCGTGAACGACTGAAGCCAATGGCCAATAATATTATTGGATCTTATCAATGCGGCTTCAGACCTGGCAAATCCACCATAGACCATAATTTCACATTGCACACCTGGAAAAGACCCATGAAAAACACTTCGACACATTCCATCCATTCGTCGACTATAAAGACGCATTCAACAGCCCTATCCGTTCAGAGGTGTTTAAAGCCATGTCTACGTTCGGCATTTCTGCAAAATTACTACGGCTATGCAGAATAACTTCAAGTAGCACAATGTATCGTAAAGTCGGAAAGGACCACTCGGAACCATTCAATACAGAACGAGGATTCAAACAGGGTGGCAGTTTATAGTATGATCTTTTTAACATCCTATACGGCTATACAAGATAACGGTATACAAGATAACTTCAACTGGCACAAGATCAGCATCTAAAGTCGGAAAGGACCTCGACGTCTTGCGCGTTGATACCAATCTGACGGTATCAACGCGCAAGACGTCGAGTGGACTCGAGCCAACAGTGGAACTTGAAAACTACAGATTTGAGGTAGTCAGAGATTTCATCTACCTCGGTACCACCATAAATAAAACAAATGACATCTGTTTTGAGATTCGGAGAAGGATGCTACTATGGTCTGAGTAAGCAATTTAACCGGACCGGACCAAACTCACACTCTACAAGACGCTAATACTAACACGTGCTGAACCTGAAGTTCAGATTCTGAACCATGGATACTTTCCCAAGCAGATGAGGTCGCTCTTGGAGTTCTTGTGAGAAAAAATCACCGAAAGATCGAATGACATCGACATAGTCAGATGTATCGAACTGCAACGACGATGTTGTCTGGGTCATGTTCTGAGAATGGATGAGGATATCCCAGCTCAAAGGGTATATAAAAGCGAACCAATTGATGGTTCACGTAGAAAGGGAAGTCCACTAATTCGATGGAAAGATTTAAGTGGAAGACAACATCTCGCAACACGGTCTTTCAAATTGAAAGAGCTGAGCACAAGACCGACGCGCCTTGAAATCTTGAAATCTTCGGCTTATGGAAGAAATGTTCTATCACATCTGTTGAATATACCCATTGAAGGGTATCATATAGTCGAGCCGGTCCGACTTTCCTACTTACTGCTCTCGTTTATAAATGCAGAAAACTTTACATCTGTCGGAACAGATGTTCAAATAGTTTTTTCTCACCTGTAGGTTTCTCTTAATAATATTTGCAAAATAACCTGACATCAGTCTCGAATCGACTTTACGATAGTGCAGTTCACTTTTATTTTCTTTAAGAAAAATCAAGAAAAAATTTAATTGGATAAGAATGGCTAAAACGGCACTGCAACGTTTCGAATTTACTCGACGTGTAATACGAATATGTTCACGATTTGTGGGAGCGGATGTTTTAAACGAAAACTATCGGCCAAATATACTAACTGTGCTGGCCTACGTCTGTTTATGTGTGTATTTTTACTGTACCGGCTATACCGTGTATAAGAACATCTACATTGATGGTCGGTGGACGGATATGTTGAAAACTCTATGCATGATTAGTAGTGGTCTGCAGGTGGGTGCAACTAGAATCAAGGTTCAAAAGTCTTCGTTCACTTCACTAATACATTTTTCGATTTTTCCGCCTTCCTTTGGTTTCTATATAGGGCTATTCGAAAATCACAAATGCCATTTTGAATAAAGTCCCAATACGCTACCTAGTGAACGATCTGCACTCCATTTATAAGGAATATTCCGATAAACATTTCGAGTATCGCAAATGTTTGTCCAAGAGCATGAACACAACCGACAAAAGTATCCGCATATTGGGTATAATTTATGTTATAGCAACATCTAGCCTCATTATTATGGTTTTCGTTTATCGATTTGCTTTCCATCAGCGTATCTATGTCCTGCAATTCGAAATGCCTCATGTGGATGTGAATACCGAACATGGCTATTTGATTACGAATTGGGTACATTTTACGTGCATATCGCTGGGGGCCTTTGGCAATTATGCCGCCGATTTAGCCCTCCTCACGTGTATCAGTAACGCACCCCTGTACAAGGATATTCTGAAGTGTAAGTTTCATGATCTAAATGAAGTTCTGAAGCGAGCGGATGCCGAGCAAATGAAACGCTGTCACATGCACCTAAAAGATATTTTCCAGTTCCATCAACGCTATATAAAGTAAGGTCATAGAGCCATGCCTCGACGTGTACGCCCCGAAAGTAATCACTGACTAATCTGCTGTTACAGGTTTGTCGACACGGTTAGAGAGAACTATTTTTGGGTGATTGCCGTGGAAATGTTCACAGTGGCCTTTAGCATTGCCCTTACTTTGTTCTGTTTGATTTTGGGTACTTGGCCAAACGTATCTGGCCTATTGTTTCCTGATGATGCATCTATACCGTAAATTATTGATATCGAATTCATCGATTGTGTCGGAAAAATAAAAAATTTTATTTGTTATCTATTTCAGAATGACAACATCATTGAGTCGTGCTATACGGAAGTGATTTGGTACCAACTAACACCCCGTGATCGCAAAATGTTACAAACTATGTTGATGATGACCCAAAATTCAGAGGGATTGACAATTGGTTCGGTTATACCGCTAACCATGGATACAGGTCTGCAGTGGACTAAAACTATTTACAGTATGACCATAATGTTGATCAATTTTCTGGATTAAGAAGACAACAAAACAAAAATGCATTCTTTGTTATATACGATTTTACGAATTGTAGTTGAGTAGATTGCACCTCCTATTATTATTTATAATTAATTAGTTAGTACGCTGAAGTAACTTATATATCTGACGGTGATTTTCAATCAGGAAGAAACAATACACAATATTCTGAAAAAGAAAATATCAATTTTAAGATCTTAGGAAATAGAAAGGTCATAATTTCGAATAACACCCACGACGAATTGCCTATGATATTTCAAGAGTTTGTTAATAGCATGGAAACTCCAAATTCCTATTCTGAGTTACAAAAATTTACCAAAGATCAGAGTGGCTAGCTACCGCGAATGAAGAATTAATTCGTTGATTGAAAGCAAAACTTGGGTACTTACTGAACTTCGGAATGCCTCCAAGCTCATCCATCAGAATGGGTTTACAAAATAAAAACTATAGCGGATGACAGTGTGGACACATGCAGGGCAAGAGTATAAACGGACAAAATGGATTGATAATGATCAAACTTTTAGTCCGGTTGGAAGGATGTCTAGAATTCCGGAAATCTATGCAAAATTTCCTCTCAATCGGGCATACTTTGGGAATTCGGTACGCCATGTAAAATTTCTGTTGAAGTACTTTGTTTAAACTATTTTTTTATACAGATATAAGGAAGCATTAAATTTTTCCTCTACATAAATACCTCAGTGTATGCCTTGTATATTTGCTTTAATAAAATATTCAATTCAATCGGTTATGGGCCCCCCCACAAAAAAAGGAAAACAAGTAATTTGACAAATTGGTAAAAAGGAAAATTCTAGACTTGTGAAATTAGATTGAACCATGGAGTTTAGGAAGAACATCAACCCGTTAACAAGATGATTTCCTAGATTTTTATGAAGGAGCTCTAGATGTGGATTCAAGGAAAATTACAAAGTTGTAATCCTTTAGAGATGGATCAACTCATTCTGATCTCTAAATGGACAAAGAATATTCTGTTGACATTTGGGAAGCATTTAACCAACAATGTGGTGTCGATTGTGTGGGTTGAAAAGATTTGGACGTTTCTACACACATTTCAAAACTTAAATGTTTGTGGAGTGTGATTAAAGCTGGTTTAGAATTAAAAGGTTAATAAAAACTTCCTGAACTGTTCCTTAATGGCATGGTTTTGCATGTGCTAACACCATCGTTCAACATTTTTAAATCATGTTGCTTGATGATGACTTGTGATGAAGATAAGTCCTTAGGTGAATTTATTATGCAGCTATGTCTATATGAACCGAATTTCAAGAAGTCTGAGAATGTTGAAAATCAAGAAGCTTTAGCCATCAATGAGAAATAGTCCAAAACCAAGCATAGTATTTGCCATTACTGTACCAAAAAAAAAAAAAAAACATTTGGTAAAATGTTGATAGAATGTCGCAAGTCAATAGCAGATGACCAGCCTTCTAAGTCAAAGCCAATTATGGATCATACAAATGTTGCGCTACATGCGATGACAAATGAAGTCAATATGGCAGATTCAAGTTCGGAATTGTGGTTTGCTGACGGTTAAATAAATATTTTGGAAATATGAAGAATTTGAACAACACAATTCTATGCATTCTACTGGAAAAGAGTGTTTAAGAGCTATTGGGAAGGGGCAAATGGTTATGCTACCGAAAGCCAACAATATGGAAAGGATTGTAACCTTCAACGATGTATGGTATGTGTCATCTATATCATTGATTTATTGATTTTAGCTGCACACAGAAAGAAATAGAAAATTTACATCTACCACGAATGAATACAAATTCTACGTGAATGGGGAATTAGTGATACATGGTCAACCAGAAATCTATGTCACTCTATACATGCTAAATGTCCGTGGAAAATCACACAGAATTTTCCTTGCTTGAAGAAAAAACATTGGCTCAGCAAGATCGCTAGATATGTTAAGATGAAGCTTCAAAAGGGCATGTGAATTACTGTGAAGGATACAAGTGAAAATTGTGAACCATGGGATTACTCATAAGTTGACTGCACAACATATACCCCTCAGAAAAATGGGTGTGGCAAAAGTGAGAATAGAATTATCATGTCAAGGACTTTAAATACGTCAATAAAAAACAATTAGTTTCCAGAAAATTTATGGTGTGAATTTGTAAAATCAGCAATATATATTTGAAACAGAAACAGAAAATCATCTGAAGCAGATATTAGCCCATTCGAAAAATGGTATGGTAAGAAACCTAGATTCAGAGCGTTGACATCCTACATGCACATTCCAAATCAAAAACCAGTAAGGAAAGTAGTAAAGTCGGACTGGGCCGACCCTTCACCACTTTGGGTATATTCGTATGTATCCTAAAAGACGTCGCCTTTTCGAAGGAACATTGACATAAAATTGAACGAACTTAAGGGAACCCCACCCATTCTCGATTTTAATTTTACAAGATTTTCAATGGACTGGTAAATCAATAACAATGCTTGTTAAGGTTTGTAATTTTGCACATATATATTTGAAGATTTATAAGAGAAGAAAAATAATTTACAAACACATTTTTTTATTGCTTTGTTGTTGTTTTTTGTAATTAAAGAAAAGTCCCTATTTTTGATGGCGGGCATAATAACTCCTCACTGGAACAGCGGAATCCGAAAATTCCAACGGTGTTAGAAAGAGTACATGTCTGGCTCTCGTATGAACTAGGATTATTGACATCGCTCAAAAATTAACAAAATGGCGGACCTTTGAAAAAAATATTTTTGGAAAATCGCCGATTTTTGACAAAAAACCTAGTTAAATAATATGGAAGATCTTCATCGATTGGCTTTATACTAGTTCATACGATAGCTATACACTCACAGAGAAACGTGTAAAAATTTGGAATCGATTGGGTTATTAGTTTTTGAGTTATCGTGCCCGCCATTCACAAAAGAGATAAACGCGTTTAAAGTTTTAGAAGCCCTTTAGCCATCACTTGATGCTGACACAATAAATCTGCTATATCTTCAAGAGTTCTTGAGATTTTCACTTGAAATTTTGTACAGACATTCTTGAATTAAATCAAAAAAATTGTTGACCCCGAGAATGGGGGTCCCCTTAAATATCTAATATCTAAACCGACCCTTATCTATATCTAAACCGACTAACATCAATCCCTACACATGTCATTCTGCAACCTATGCTAAATTTTCTAATTCTGCACCCAAAGACCCATTGATTATTTGGTGTACAATAAACATGTAGAAGTTCAAATTATGTATGGAAGCTATGCTATATCTATATCTGAACCGATTTCAAGTAACCTTGCCAGAGATTAATTTATATTAACTTCAGTACGTTGTGTCAATCGGCCTAGCTAGGGGTCTTTAGTGCACCATTTACATAAAATCGGACGAAAATATATATAGGAGGTGTTTGAAAATCTGATCCGATTATCTTTGCACACATCATTCTAGACGTAATTCAGTACGCTATACCAAAATCGAAAGATATAGGGGACTTCGGTGCAGCATTTACATAAAATAATAAATTATATATGGGAGCTATATCAGGGACTTTGGTGCATCATTTATTTCAAATCGGACGAAACTATATAGCTATATCTAAATCAGAACCGATTTTCACGAAACATAACACACATCATTCTACACTTAATTAAGTACGTTATGCCAAAATTCGTGCAAATCTAATGATTTTCAGGGACTTTGGTGCACCATTTATTTCCTAAAATTGTCGGATTCAGTACGCTATGCCAAAATTCTATATATTTTCAGGGAGCTATATCTATATATCTATATCCTGATATTTTCCCGAAATTTGGCACACATCATTGTCGACTTAATTTAGTACGCTATGATTTTCAGGGACTTTGGTGCACCATTTACCTAAAATCGGGCGAAACTATATATGGGAGCTATATCTAAATCTTATCCGATTTTCTCCAATTTCAATAGGGTTCGTCCTTGGGCCAAACCAATGGACTGTGCCAAATTTCATCCAATTCGGATCATAAATGCGACTTTGCTCATAAAAATACATGGACGGACGGACAGACGGACATGAATAAATCGACTCAGAATGTGATTCTATGCATATTCTCAAAAGGAACCATGGGTCTATCTCGATTCCTTTTGCCTGTTACAAACATATGCACAAACACATAATACAGTGTGGTGAAGGGTATAAACAGAAAAAGATGGACAAAAAGCCTGAAAAGGGATATTTGGTAGGATATGACGGCGCTTCAGTCTTGTGCCCAGCTTATCCAATTTGAAATACTATGTTTCTAAATGTCGTCTTCCACTTGATCTGCTTTTATATACCTTTTGAGCTGGGGCATCCTCATCCATTCGCCCAACATGACCTAGCCACAGTAGTCGCTGCAGCTCGATACGTTTGACTATGTCGATGTCCGAGAATATATGGTACAACTCATGTTTCCATAGATCTTTCGAAGAATTTTTCTTTCAAACACTCCAAGAGCTGCCTCTCTGCTTGGGCAAATACCCATTCTTTAGATCATACACCAGCACGGATAATATCAGAGTCTTGTAGACTATGAATTTGGTTTGGGGAGAAATGGCATTGTTTTTTGAATTGCTTACTCCGACCATAGAATTATCTGTTGATTCTCAAAACAGATGAAAATCTGGTCAATGGTGGATTTGCCAGGCCTAAAGACGCATTGGTATGGTCCAATAATGTCAATAATCATTGACTTCAGTCGTACACACAGTACGCTGAATAGCACTTTATATGCCATCGGTAAGAGACTTATCCTCTATAGTTGGCACATATTCGTCTTGACTCCTTTTTATGCACGGGACACAGAATGCTGAGGTTCCAATCATTGGGTATGCACTCCTCTAGCCAAACGGTACTAATCAGTTGGTACATGCAGCTGATCAACGTCTGACTGCCGGTCTTGAATATGTTGGCTGGTAAGCCATCCGATTATTTGATATTCTGACCTCAAATTGGCTAGGTGGTATACACATTATACCGTCAACTATTATTGGTTATG